CTTGGATCAAAGGTCCGATCCTGTGACCTCTAACAGCACAGCACACAGAGGAGCTGATATTCTGATATTTGTGGCGCCTGCTTCCAGTGAACACAAAGTCTTGGACTACTTTGTGAAAATGGTCTCAGATCAATTTAAAACATTACCTGTAATAAACAATTTTATGTTTTATTTTTTTCAGACTGGAGACGACTCGAGCAAACTCACCTACTCCGTGGTGACTTTTTCCAAGAAGAGCAGTGACTCTGCCAACAGCACGTCCCGCAGTAACACCAGTGACGTTATCTACTCCGAGCCTCGGGTTAACGCGAGCCACTCCGGAGGTGATCCGTTGTACTCTACTATAGCCTAGCTTTAGCTCCTGGGACAGGACAGGTAATGTTTGTCATGCTGTTGCACACACAGCACGCTCCTTTGTTTCAGTTCGTCAGTTGCCACAAGACAACTGACCATCATGTGCATCATAACCTAAGACTGCTCGGTGCTATAGAGTACACGCTGTACATCATACTTCATCGTTTTGCTGCATCAGTCTGCCGCTCTGAGTTAATTTGTGTTTAAGGGTTAGGGTTATGATAACATGCACGAACTGTATCTTTCTTCCACCTCGTGTCTCTATTGTTGTTTAAGACGTGTTTTTTAGGGACTTACATGATTAAACAATTTCTAAACAATGATATCTTTTGTAGTTTGGAGGCTAAACAGGCCAAATACATGAATATGTTCTCAGTGGTAGTCGAGCATCACTTCAGTGAGTATGTAACAGAAAGAGGAAGCAGCTGCTGGTTCTCTAAATCTATTTGACACAACATTCAGTGAAGTGATTAAAAAGAGGAAGTAAGAGCTAGTTACTGTAAACAAGCAGCCACACATGGGTGGACCTCCTTTACTTCAAGAAGGACTCAGGTTTTCTGTCTTTGTGAGGTTGTTTTAACCTTTTCATTTGTATCATGAGTAACCTTTGCAGCATTTTTATTTGCATTTGGTCACACTCCGATTTTATTTATCCACTGTCTGCCTGATGATGCTTGTTTGAGTTGTTTCTGCTCTAATCTGAGTCCCTTAAGAATATTTTCAAAAACAAAACATGAAGAAGAAACTGCACAGGTGCAGAAGTTCACGTTGCAATACGAGGAAGTCAAAATCGTATGCAGGTTTATGTTTTTACAGCACTTTGAATAGAATAGAATAGAATAGAATAGAATAGAATAGAATAGAATA